ACGAATTCAAAAATATCACTTTTTACCAAAAATGACAAACATATCCATCAAAATTAGAGAATTGAAGATATCATCACGAAATGAACAAATCTGATAGAGCTCTACCTGAGGTACCTAAATGTATAACATAAAAGCAATGAGACTTGCGGTATTTAACAAGAAGTCTAAAATATCACTTTTTACCAAAAATGTCAAAAGTATTCAGCAAAATTAGAAAATTGAAGATATCATAATGAAATGAACAAATCTGAGAGGTCTACCTGATGTACATACACACCAAGTATCAAAGCATTTAGGCTTGTAGTTTTCAAGAACAAGTCGAAAAAGTAAAAAGTTGACACGGACGATGATGGGTGCCGATGGACAATCACTCATATGATAAGCTCCGCTCGACGAAGTCGACAGCGGAGCTAAAAAGTGAGAGCAGTTAAAGAACTGAAAAAAGGGAAGGTATTCATCACAGAAAAACTACATGAAGAATTATTCGCACTGAGGTTTCATTTTCTTCTAGTGTATTTGAAAAGTTAAAAAAAAATCTAAATTACAATCAATGATTATTTCTGAGAAAATTCTGACCCACATATTCACTTTATCAATGTAACCTTCATAGTTCACTTTGTAATAAATCAAAGACTTCAAACAAAATATACCCTTTAAACTTTTTTAATTCTAGGAAAGCAACCTTTTTTGGGTGATAAAACATTTGCCTTCATTTGCAGTGGATCTCTGCATCAATGAAAAAAATATAAGATATAATTACCTTAGAATCATACGCCGACTGTTTTATAACTTCTGGTGCCATCCAGAATGGCGTACCTACGAACGTATTTCTCTTGATTTGCGTGTCTGTTAACTGACCCGCAACTCCAAAATCGGCTAGCTTCACATCTCCATTCTCGGATAATAGAACATTGGCAGCTATAGGAATGAAATAAAGATGTGTTTTTGTCATAACCAGTACAATATTACACAGCATAGATACAACAAATCACAAACCATAATATAATACTAAGGAAATAATTTCAGAAAGAAGACTTTTTTTCACAAGGATTATTATGCAGTCTGAAGAGTATTAGATTTTTCCTTACCTTTAATATCTCTGTGTAGTTTTCTTTCTGAATGTAAATAATCTAGGCCTTTGAGAATTTCCCTCAATATTGTAGCAATATAGACCTCGTCAAATGGACCTGCTTTCATTAGGTCTAACGCTGACCCACCTCCTAGATATTCCATAATAATCCATAGTTTTGTACCCTATAGATAGAATAATCAGATAAAGCTCAGAAAGAGTTCCAGCTCTTGCACACATTGGGGCCAACCATTGCTGAAAACGTCCATCAAGTCATTTGATTTCCCCAGTGCACAAGTAGACAAGCGCCCTCTAGAGGTGTATTTTGAAAATACAAAAATAGTAATATGTATATGGTACACAAAAAGGATATAGCAATAAGGGTATTCATGGTCAGTGGCATCTCTAGTGCACATACAGCACCACAGCTGTATACCCTTAAATCTTTTAGCCATTTTCTACAATTTTTATTCACCAACTTCATGAAATAACATTCAAGTTTAAAGGCCATGTGTATAAATATTTGTTAAAACAATTTTTTTTTTCAAACTTTTTTGATTCAATACTTTTGACCTTGGAATTATAAACAAAGTCTAATTATGACAGGATCCCATGGAGGTGAAATCTACTAGTGTCAAGGATTATCAAAACAGAACAAGCTAACCCGCCTAGGGAGTACTTTAATTGGTGAACAAATAATCTTATAAGCTGTATATAGAAACCAATTATCCTAAGTTCAACCAGGTGATAAGGACAAGTAATAAGTGTGTATCAATAACCTTACTAACCAGGCTACTACAGAGCACTGATGTATATATTTTCTTTCATGTGCAAACTGATTTCTTTGGGGATGAGCAGCTTTGGAGGAGGGAAGGGGGAACTCACAAACTATATTACCATAAAAACTCAAAAATTTTGACTACTAGTTTTCAGAATATAAAAATAAGTGATTGAAAAAAAAATTGTTATAGAGCAACACAATCACTTACAATGTTTTATAGGGAAAAAAAGAAAAACTGATTACAAATATGACTGAGGTTAGAGCTGTAGAAAATACTTGCGGATTTATTTTGCGCAAATAGGTAAATACTTTTTATTTGTTATTACGGTAAGGTATCATGAAAGCTGTTAAAACTCTTTAAGTACTTGTTTCACTCTCTAAAAAGTGTTAATCACCTCTTTAAAAACATCACGCATTGAAATCAATGACAACGGGCTGCACTACAACTTCGAAAATAACGAATTTCTGAAGAAGATCTAACTATTGGTGGTGCCATGGAGTATTCTGATTGATTAATGGCATTCTTGACCTGTCAGGTCAAAGGACACCATACACGTAGTAGGTCAACTAGTGTTCGGGAAATATGGCGTATTGGTACGGAATCAGTCAAGTGTTTTAAAACATTCTTTCAAAATAATATAAACTTCATGCATAGCAAAACCAAAGAAATAATTTTTTCTAACCATGACTGAATAATAAGCATTGTTGTTAAAATGTCAAAAAAAAAAGTTGTTGGTAGTAGATCGTTTCTGTGATGTTTTGATTCTTTCAGTGTCTAGCACAGTTCAGCTTTTCTTTTGCTTTCAAATTATTCAAAGCTTAAATTAGAGCTTAACAATCAGTCCATGAAAAAAACATCTAAGGTGAATGAAATTTTAGAGAACTAAAAACAACACAATTTGGAGAACGGCTGAAATTTGGAATATTGAAAGCCAATTAATTATGAAAAACGGCTAAATAATTAGGTGGTCGGATTTTTGAAGTAGGGGAAATTTTTTCGGTAGTACCAATTATTCACTGTCCACCAAATGCACTATGCATTTTGAAAGGGTCTCATTGCATCAAGCATTCATATTCTGATTCCGTTTTGCGATTCTGCAAAGAACACATCTTA